TTTAACCGTTCGCAGAAACTCGAGCCGCACCGTGTGACGTAACAATGGCGATTGCTCCTTTTTTTTTTTTTTTCGAGGGGGACAAAACTCCTTCCGCCCACAATACGTGCCGATCTCTTATCTCGATTAGGTATCCTGGATATTCTCCTTTCGATCCTTCCATTATTCCTTGCGTCAATGGGATAATTTGTGACAGAATTTTTTTTTTTTTGGTTTCTTTCTTCTAGAAAGAAATTATACACGAAACTCGAGTGAAAATTTTAACGTACGCGTGACGTGAATTTTTCTACGCATAAAAAGTATAAAAAGTATGATACGATAGAATCGTTTATATTCGATCGATTTATATCTAAACGAGATGTGATGGAAGGAAAGAAGAAGAGGATAAGGATTTCTCGAAAAGATCTCGAAAATGATCCTCGAGACGACTTCTCGTCATTTGTCCAATCTTTCCCTTTTATCGTCTCGTCAAAATATCGTAAAGACTGTGCTTTGGGGTTAAAAAAAAAAGAAGAAAAAGAAGAAGAAGAAAGAAAGAGAAGAAAAAAAAAACGATCCCCATAAAGTCATCATGGACCGTGGCTACCGTGAATTGGTGAAAAATTCAAAGCCCTGGCTGAGTCGGGTCCAAGAGAAGGATAATAGTAAAACTTTGAAAGAGACATTACGAGCTATTGGTCGGAAAGTTTCTTCTTTTCGGTTCTTCCGATTAAAATCGTACCGCAATGTTCGTTGGGGAGGAAATTTTTATTCAAATTGAGAGATAGATGGAAAGGAAGAAACGATACAAGCGTGTTCAACATTTTATGAGTTGAGGGTGACCACGTAAAAATAAACAGAGACGAACCCTTCTGATATTTACCAAACGACTTCTCCAAAATATCCATATTTTCATCCCTTCATCTTTCATTCGACAAGGAATTCGAGACGAGGAATTCAGATCGCAAATTTAGCCCGCCTCGAAGATTTAGGCAAGCAGTTAAACGATAAACGGACACGACAGCTACCGCAATTTCATTCTTCCTAGAGACACTGTCCCGTGTCCGTTTACCCCGGTGCAGCGTTTCCTTTTTTCCCTTTTTTTTTTCTTTCTTTCTTTCCCCTCCCTCCCTTTTCCTGAAACGCGCCCTTTGTCTAAAGCATTCGAGCGTGCTCTGCCCCGTGAGAAGGATGGAGAGAAAGAAAAAGAGAAAAAAAAAGAAGAAGAAGGAGGAGGAGGAGGAGAAGGAGAAGAAGAGAGAAGAGCGGTTGGTCGCCGCTTGCGACCAACAAAAGGGCCAAGGGCAAGAAAAGGAAAATTTATGTATGTACCGTGGCGTAACAGCGCCATCTGCGTGGAATTCCTTCTGGCCCATCAGCTTTTCGGTTTTCCGAAAGATTTGGGTCAACCGGACAGTTGCGAGAAACCCAGTCGCCCCTTTTCTCCAACTTGGCCTAAGTTCGCCTAATGATCCCCGATTTCTCGCCGAGTTAAGACCCTTTCGAGAAACCCACCCTCTCCTTGTACCGCGAATTCGCCATTAATGTATATAATTAGATCCATGCTTCGAGCCATGATTCGAACAAATAAAACGAAGTGTCGAAGGCAATGAAGAGTTTATATTATATACAAGAATATCTTAGAATCTTTCGAATTTGAGTAAGGGTTTGTATACGAGAACAAAAGAATTTCTCGAGAATCGCTTAAGGGAGTGGAATTGTTGGACAGTCAATGAAAGTGTCCACTTGGGAAAAGTAATTATTCTCGAGGGTTTTCGTATCCTAAAGATAAGAATAATATTTGAGAATAATTTTTTAACGCGGTTGGGAACAATATTTTCGAAAGCAATATTTGAAGGTGTGTATATATACAGTGTAATGAATAAGTTAAATTCAAGGGGTTAATAGAAAGATTAACTTCCAAATCTTTTGAATAACCTCGACAGACTACTCTCCAACGATCTTCCATAGAAAAATTTCTCATAGGAATGAGATGTGAATCGGCGATATTTATTCGTGGACACGTGGAAAATTTGCGTAAAACTACTACTTTGTTGTAAAACCCAGACCAAGCCCAGAGAGAAGTAAGAGAGAGAGAGAGAGAGAGAGAAGAGAGAGGACAGTTGGGCCATAACGACGATGGAACATTTATCTCGAGTGTCACTTCACCCAACTTTCACCGGCACAATGTCACTCCGTTCGCTCCTTGCCCTTCTTCCGCCCCCGTTCTTGTCCACGTCGAAGTGGCGGCCCTCCAAAATCGTCGTAATGGAGCTTCATTCAAGCGGTGTAGCAACGTCGTTTGCATTTCTTGTTATTTATCTTCGTCGTTGGTACTCCCTTGAACGGGTGGGGCACTTCTCGGCCCTTTTGTCATAATAGATCCGCGATGGTGGTAGCCGGGATCAAAGTGATCATCAAAGTGATCGTCTACGCTTTGAAGGATATATCATGTCGAATATATTTTCGTTGAACGTGTTTACCTCTTCTTCTTCGATAAAAATATCTTGTAATCATGTTTTCGATTAGTTGGATAATTGAAATTTCTTTCAAAGAGAGAGATAGAACAATTTTTATGAAATTTTAAAATATCTTCCATTTCGTTACTTGTTAAATTAATTAATTAATGAATTAAATATCTTATATCATACATTTTTCATTACTTGGATTAGAATAGAATTTCTCAAGTATTTTTTTTAATAGAAAGGAAAGTTTGTATGAATTTTAACAATATCTTTATCTATTTCATTATTCAAATTACGCAATTTTTTAAAATTTTCAAATTTATTGCTCAGAATGTAATATGACTAACTATTATTATCCGTATTTATCTATATATTTCTATATATTGTATATTCGTATTATTATTTAAAATATTTTTTTGTTAATCGATAAGAAAATAAGATTTAATATTCAAGGAAATGTATCCATCTTGAAATCGAGCATTTGTGGATCGAACATTTCAATTACCTCTGGTCACGGCGTCACTTTAAAGGAAAGAATTATCTTCATCCAATGTCCGCTGGAAAGGATTGCGTTTTACGAAGCCGACGATCTCTGTGGAACGAATTCTTTAATGCGTAACTAACACGAAGCCATGTTGCTCGTGATGACTATATAGAGGGTTAACAATGCCATCCAGGTCGCTTCATGAACGTTCACCCATAAATAATTACAAAAGCTGCGACTAAACTTTGAAAATAACCACTTCTTTCGGGAAAAAGGAAGAGTTACCCTTTATTCATTATCGAGATAAACGTTTGAACATTTCTAGAAAATCAACTTCTATTTTTCGTATATCATAAAATTTAAGTCGAATTTTTTTAGCACAATATGTATCTTTTTCAAGAAGTATTATTAAAGTAATTATATTATTCATTTTATAATATAAAATATTTTTTTTTTGAATTATAAATTGAATACGAAGTTAATTAATTTCGTTATTTTTTTAATTTATGTTATATGAAATTTATCAATAAAATGATTTAAATAATCCCCGTTATGAAGTACAATATTATAAATATAATAAAAGGGATAATAGTTCAAACGAGGGGTGGTGTAGCTGCATTATCTAGCGGGGAAACTTAGAATTAAAAGTGATGATAGTGATTTTACCCATAGAATGAAATGACGAATAATTGTGAACCGAGAAAATTCTTGTTGCTCTTTCCATTTTTGTGTCATTTCTACTTTATCGATTACCACAAATTAAGATCATGATATTAGCAATAGTTGATATAGTTTTTCGTATAAAAAAACTGTTTCATTATTATTATTATTATAGATGGAAAATTGCAGTATCAATATATTATCTACAAATAATAACTATGCATATTTTTTTAAAAGATAAATTAGTTTAGTTCTTTAAAGTTTTACTAAAATTAATTTATATCAATAAATCAAATTCTTATAAAATACTTTAGTTATTAAGATTGCAAGTAAAACACATATATAATATAATATGCATATAATCAATATATAAAAAAAAAATTTATAAAAATATATCCAGAAAAAATCCATCATCACTTCAGTTTTGACTATTTTAAAGAAACGGAAATAAATTTTTTATGCTTACTTTTTCTTATGACTTTTAAAATAACATCTTTAGTGTTTCAGAGATGGCGTTTATGATCAATTCTTATATCTTTATCTCTTTCTAAATTTGAGGCTCTTGTTTTTTATATTCATAGTCATTGTTTATAAGAAATTTATGAAACAAGCCAAATTATAAGAGAATCATATCTAATCTGTATTTTGAGATTGCCAGACTTATCAATAGAATCATGTTTGACAATTCCTGCTTTAGATATTGAAAGATATGTTGTTGTTATTTAAAGAAATTTTAAGTGACAGATATTAAATAAAAACATCTGGTATTCATATCTTTCCAAAGCATATCTTAATTATGCAACATTTTATTAACAATATCCTACTAGAAAAATTATATTTTGTTAAGTAATACGAGATACATTTATTTCTTTAAATCATAAAAGATATATTAAATAATATTTTGTATAATATTTTTTTACAAAAAAATTTTATATTTTATAACAAATCTATTCATCTGTTCTATGATTTCTATTAATATCTAAAGTTGATAAATAAAGGAAAAAGTTCTTACCGAAATTTTAATTCCTTTTTTACCATCATCTCTCACATGTTCGATATCATGATTAAGTTTCCTCCAATAGATGTCACTCTAATACCATTTAACTATCTCGATATTTCATTTTTATATTAAATTGCAATATTTCATAGGATATCTGTTATCTACGTATAAGTTTGAATCATTTCATATTGTTAAAATTTATTTTTTAAATTATTTTTTAAAAACAAAACAAATTACTTCAAATTATTTTTCTATACACGAGTATTCTTTGTAAGTCTATGTACACATTATTGTACTATTAATCAAAAGAATAAGCTTAAGATAACCTTTTAAATAATCTTATTACATAACAGCTATCTTTATTCGCTTTTAATCCTTATTCCTTACAAAGGATCTCCTTTCTTTCATCATGATGCTCCACGCGGAACACGAATGTGAAATAGTTGAAGAAGAAGATGATATACTGTTTCTTCCTGGTAGAGGCATATTTGAAAGATTGAGAGACATTTTACGTCTCTCATTGTTACCCTCGCGTAAGAATCCAGCCGCTTTTTATTATTTGCGAAGCAGTGCTGCCATAATCCAAGAGAAACGTCGTCAATGGCGAAATTTCCCGAATGTCATTCATCCATTCAGCTTATTCAGGTATACAATCTAAGATACGTACCTACAAGATACGTGTTATCATCATCATGCCATTTCAATGACATCCATTCAGAAAAAATCTTCTGAAATTTATTAATTTTTAAACGTTACTGAAAATTAAATTAATTATTGCTAACAAGAATTCGAGATGTTAATTTAATTCTAAATGATATTCCTTTCCTTTATTTAATAATCATATGTTGTTATAAAAATTCTTTTTTACAAAAATGTGAATAAAGTTTCGCGTATTTTATTTTTTTCAAAAGATTTTTACATAACAAGAAATAGATATTCAAACGAATATACTTTATATATTAAAAATGAAAAGAACGAAACGAAATGCTAAGTCTGGTTTGAAATATATATATAAGAATGCAAAAGATAAATCGTCTCAATAATTGTTCGCGCATTCGGTCTATCTAACACGCGCATTATGCTTTGGATCGTTATTACAGGCACGTTTGGGACATCTCGATGATAATCGTAATATCCCTCGTACTGATCATGATCCCCTATCAGGCTTCCATTGGAATAAAGGAAAAGTTAATGACTTGGATCATTATAAAGAACATCATGTTGTTAATCTGTTGCTGCGACATACTAGTTAATCTTAGAACAGGGCAAGTATCTTAGTTATAATTAATCCTCTAGAATCCCAAAAAATTTAAAAATCTATCTCGAGTAAGATAAGATTCTTTTTTTTTTTTCTTTTCTTAAATTCCCTCCACCAAGCAAAGATTAATCGCTCGAATAAAATTAACTTGTTAATTTTTTTTCAGCTACTTCGACAAAAACGTGCATTCGACGGAGTTGGATCCAAGGAAAATAGTTGATAATTATCTAAAGCATGGCACATTTATCGTGGATTTCATCGGTTCCTTCCCAACCGATATCTTCTATATAAACATGTTCGAGCTAACAATAGCTCGGAAGTGGACATCCCTATTATGCATCTTTCGTGTTTTCTCTCTCGCTAATTACATCGAGAAGATAATAACCCTCTACGATATACCTCTCGTCTTCAAACTGTTGTTCGTGTTAATCTTCTGGCTGCTGCTGTTCTTCCACTGGCAAACCTGTTTGCAGTGGTTGATACCCATAATAACCAAGTCGCTTTACGAGCCGAAACGTCCCAGTAACACATCGTGGATCGAGGTGGCGAACTTGTGGGACGTTCCAAGGAGAGAGCAGTATCTGGGCAGTTTAATGCGTGCCATAACCACGTTCATGAGAATCGGCCTCGTTTACACATCCCTGGACAACATGGGCGAAGTTTATATGATCATATTGGTCCGAATATTGGGCATGATCTTGCCCTGGTTCATAGTCGCGTCCGTGTTGAACTTTCTCAAGGGTGAGCACAGCTCCCGTTTGAAGTATCAGGGTACCGTGGCCCAGCTGAAACATTTCATGAGGCACAAACAACTGCCCTATCCCAGCCAGAAACGGATCATCCAGTATTACGAGTTCCGTTTCCAATATCGATTCTTCCGCGAGTCCGAAATAATTAACTCGATATCGACCCAGATGCGCCACGAGATAAGGATGCACACGTGCCGGAAACTGGTCGAGAACGTGACGTTCTTCAACAATTTGCCGTTGACGTTGCTCGGCCAAATCGTTGCGTTGTTGAAGTTCGAGATATTCTTGACCAACGACGTGATCGTGCGGGTCAATCAGCCCGGTGATTGTATGTACTTTATAGCCTCGGGCACGGTGGGTATTTACACGGACTCGGGGAAGGAGGTGTGCCATTTGGACGACGGGGCTCACTTCGGCGAGGTCGCCCTCGTCATGCCCAACGAGTTGAGGGTGGCGAGCGTGGTCGCTGTCGAGATATGCGAGTTGTACCGGTTGAATCGTGCCGACTTCATGAGAACGATACACCCCTACCCTATGCTGTGGGAGAGGATCAAGAAGATCGCGATCGAGAGGCACGAGAAGACCATGATACTCACTACATAGCAGATTATCCTTCGTTTAGTTATTTTATAAGAGAAATATTTGCGTGATCGTCGAACATTGGAATCGTGTTATAGAAATAATTTCCGTTGTTATTTAATTTTTTAACAGATTCGAACAACAGATTACCGAGTAGATTCGTATCGGTATTGCTACACGTTAATGATAAGTTGCATAATTTGTTGAAACGTGAGATTGCATTTTCGATTTTTACAATTTCTCCTTGTAATTTGATTAATTGCTTGACCGAGCGTGTATAGAATTATTATGAAAGTGTGCGTGTAAATCTCGATAAACTGTTTGACGTAAAGTTCAAATATAACGATACGTATTCATTTTCTCAATTATCTTAATTTTCCTATGGCGATATTACATGGAATTAAAATTATCATTTTCTTCCTACACAAGATTAACGCCAGAATTATTAAACAGTTATTTCCTTCTTCAATCTTTTAATTAACCTCTCGTCCAGCTTGCCAATGCCTCCAATTTAATAATTTACCTTTCCCGAGAGTCCTAAATTTTTTAATTTCCACTTGTATATTATACATCGCGCTACCTTCTATATATATAAAGATTAAAATCGATCAATTTTTCTAAATCCACCACCATTAACAGAAATCGCTTAACGAACCAAAAGAAACAATATGTCCCATTATACGTCGTAACGAATCGAAATTTTCACCAGAAACAAAGCTATTAACTCTTACCTTAATGTGAAAAAATTCTAATAATCCGATCCAAGCTTTCTTAACTCTTAAACAACAAATTTCGTCAACTTTGCAATGCAAACGCAACTATCCTCCAACGTGGATGAATCGTATCTTTTCTTCTATCCGTAAACTCGTCCAATACATTCGATATATCGTCAGCGAGGCCAATTCCAGCGAGGATGGAACCCCCGTTATATTCATCGAGAGTGGAGAGCGAATCGTTAATGAGCGGCGAGCATAATAGCCGGGAAATTGTTAAAGGCGCATCGCGTCTCGATCCGATAACTGTTCCTCTCGGGGCTTGGCATTAGCGCGGAAGATTTATTGGCGCAATTGCGACGATTTTTGCGCGGCGTAACAGTAGGCTGAGACGGCGCGCTCGTGAGGAGGGGGTTGGAGGGATTGCAATTTTCAACGCGAGCGAGCTTAGGGGGAGCCCCGTTAGCTCGAACGAGCATGGGAAGAAAAACGCGCGTTTTTTGATCCACCGGAATGGCCTCTCGAATCTCGACCGATTTGCAAATGTAAAAAAGTGCAAGCGTGCGAATAAAGAATAAACAAAGGAATTGGTCAACGCTGATCTCGAAAAGGACGATGTTTAAAAATGATTTAGAGATCTTTTGTACATTGTAATAAAATTAGTGAGAATTTTATTTTTCTCCTTTTTTAAATTCATAAAGATCCTCCTAAAGAATCTCGATCGATTTGCAAATGTAAAAAAGTGCAAGCGTGCGAATAAAGAATAAACAAAGGAATTGGTCAATGCTGATCTCGAAAAGGGCGATGTTTAAAAAAGATTAGAGATTAATATTTTTTGTACATTGTAATTGTGCATGTAAATAGATTAATGTCCAGAATGGTCTCTCGATCGATTTGAAAATGTAAAAAAGTGAAAGAGGAGAACAAACGAAGGACTTGGTCGATGCTGATCTCGAAAAGGGCGATGTTTAAAAAAGATTTAGAGATTAACATTTTCTTAGACGTTGAACTAATATATATTTATATTACTGTGAGAAATTTTATTTTTCTTCTTTTTTAAATTGATAGAGATTAAACGAAGCAGAGGATGGTTATAATCATTCCAAACGATAAATTTATCTTTGGCTGCGATTTTTCCGAGTTTAAGTTTCAAGTATTCTTATATCCCTTTAGCAAAAGTCAAGAACCACGCCCACCAACCGTTAATTCTAAATTCTCACGAAACGTATCTAAGCTGGACATTATCATTAAACGATCGACTATACACACATATATGTATATACACTCATCGAGTTTACTTTTCTCGGATAAAGTACCGTACAATATTTTACACCGGTTTACCGATTATCGGATTTATAACCGCGTATAAAGTCAAATCGATGCGTGAGATACGCGTTGTTTGCAACGCGTATAACGCGAGCCTACGTGTATCTGAATAACATTTCGCCACGAAGAAAGATTCGATTGTAGGAGAAGGCGAATTTTTATTTACAAGTCGCATTCCAGGACAATAGACTCATTAGCCAGCGGAGAACAAGTTCTGTTCAACCGCGAGAACAGTGGACTGCCTGCCACTTTGTCTTCTATCGTGGAAAATTTTCCACAACAGCGTATAAACAATTTTAACAAGTACAAAAGATTCCAACGAAATTTTTCTTTTTTTCTTCTTACTTTCCCCTTTTTAAACAATTTTCTCTATAACAACGAATGATCGAGACTGTAAAACATTCTCTTAAAAAATTAACTCTCAAAATTTCGAACGATATCAATAGTAATTTTAAATTAAGTTCTTCTTATAATTCACGAATCTCTCTCGTCTCTGTCGCGAACCGATATTCGTTAGCCAAGTTTTGGCGCGACGAATGAAACGATGACGATGAAACAGGATCCACGATTTAACCTGATTCACGATGAAGTCATTTCGGGGAGAGGACACGTTCAACTAGATCCGGTTATTATAAGGTTGATTGTCCGCGGTGTGTCCTCCGTGCATTACATCGAGAATGCACGCTCGCGAGGGGAGAGAACGGATCTGATTTACTTCACGATGCCCCCCGTGCTTATCTGGCGAGATTCGCGTGTCGAGTTATCCACCGGCGACCGGTTCCAACCTCGGCTATCTACGTGCTGCGATCCAACGATACCCGCAAGCCCGTTATTAATGAATACGGTTTTCACTGGGGATTCGTTCGTTTTGTTCCCTCGCCGCGTAACGAGATTTCGTGCCGTGCCGCTGTCGCCCGGCTCCTCCTCGCGCAAAAATCGCGCGCAGACCAGTAATGGATTTCGGATCGCTTTGTCCCGCCAAGGTAAAAATTTTCCTCGCGAAAGGATTTATCGATCGAGTTACGAGTACGAAAGGGGAATACTTTGAAATCTTGGTGGAAATGATCTGGAAACAATGAAATTAGCCGATGCGTTTAAATTGATGCGTTCGTTGTTACGTAGATGAGCGAAGTGGTTTCGTTTCGTCGAACTTTTATCGAATATTGTCATTTAATTGCACGCAACGATTGTGGATCGTTGTGAGTAAAATGTTTAAATTGAAAAAAATTTTGGGAGATTAGTTCATTGTTTAATTATTATAATGTAATGAAAAAAGGTAATTGATCGTTATTATATAGAATATAATAAAAGAGATATAAAAATCCTTGAATAAGGAATTAAAGTTTTGCACACATTTGTACAAAAATTGCGGGGATCATTAATAATAATGAAATATTTGTTTGTAGACGATCGAAGAATAATGGCGTATAGAAGGAGAACGAAAAATGAAATTCGCCCGTTCGCTTGTTTTTATTTACGTTGAATTATTAAATGTTATTTCGCGGCGGAAATGTCGCGCTCGAATGATCAGCCTGTTTACGACGTTCCACCTTTTTACGCGGACCATGTTTTCGATTTAATGCGCGGCGCTTGATCTCCTTTTTTCGATTTTTGTCGCTTGTTTGTTACAACGGTAAAATTGGCACGATGAAATGGGTCCGCATCGAGAGAACGGCGTTGTATAACTGTAAATTGTTACCGATGCATTCGATCCGGTTTTTATAGATTTTTTTTTTTTTACATTGTGTGCACGAAGTGGCGATCGAAGACGTATCACGTGGCTTTCTTTCCACTTCAACAATTGACAAACCTTGGAATAACGAACGTTTTTTCTCGATCGAACTGTTTTTAAAATTGAATTCGAGAGAAGAGACGACGATTTTTTAAACTCAATTTTTTTAAAACTTTACGCAGAATCTTCAAATACTGTATTATTTTATCCAAACGTTCGAAAGACAAATCGTAAAACCAGTGTCTTCCGTGAATGCGGAGGATGCGCGTAAAGAAAGCTCGTGCTTACGTTACGTTTCATGAAAACGTTCTTTGTGGTTGCTAAAACTAACTTTGTTCAAGGTGTATTTTTAAAAAGTCCGGCGTTCGTATTCGAAAAATGCTCCAAGCCTTAATTCAGAGTTTTCTGTTCTCCTGGTCAAGAACGAGCAAAGTGAAAGTGTCAAAGTAAAAACACGGAAACACTTTGGACCGAAAAAATAAACTTGTTCCCTTCCTTTACTATTTCAGCTAGAGACATTACATACAACAAAGTTTCCGAGTTCAAATTTCAAAACGTAATTGCACAAATGGAAAAGAATTACACGTTTTCCGATTCATTTTGATCCTCACGGAGATTCATCTCGAAGATTTCTTTTCGACAATTCTACATCGTTCATTATTCCATAATAACAGATGATATACACGCGTTCGAACGAGTATCCTCGACAATTTCGTCGTAATGGGGCGCATAACCAATCATCGCGAAAGATGGAATTTCGATCGAATTTCCATATACATTCCACCGAGCTTTCTCTTAAAACTTTCATAAACCGCCAAATAATAAAATCCTTATCATAACCACTCCTCGCACGTGATTTAAAAACACTCTCCTCCTCTCCCTCCCCCATCCCTCCCTTTCTAATTGAAAAGAAAACGAGAGGTTCCCATCTCGGGGGGGAAAAGGAACGCGGCAAAACGGCGCGCACGAGCGGGGGAGGCCGATGGCGCAGAGAGGGCCGCCCATTCCGGGCGAAACAATGGTTTGTGCGCATGGACGCATGGGCAGAGTGCGGCACGGCCGATGACAATGAAACGCTTAGGAGGGCCTGGCCATTGTAATAGGTCGGCGATGCGCCTGCTTGGTAGAGTCCCTGGTGCGGTACGCGTTATCCCTACCTATCCTCCTGCGAGCCTCCTCGCGAAATCCACGAGCGGAAAGAGGGACCCGCGCGAGCTCGTGGGAGCGCGATAGCGCGTGACGGAGCGACGGAG